GTAATTACATTTTTGTTACCTTGTAATTACATGGTAATAAGGTAGTAATTACATTTTTGTTACCTTGTAATTACATGGTAATACGGTAGTAATTACATTTTTTATTACCTTGAAATTACATGGTAATAATAGGGTACCTTTAAAAAAGTGTTACCGTACATTTGTGTATTATTTGAAACTAAATACTCTGTTGAGTTTATTCGTCAATGTAAACTCCTCCAGAGAAGTTGGTCTGAGTACGACCACCATCACTGTTAGTGGGTTTTACAAACAGGATGGTTAAAGGCCTGTGTTGATGTTTCTGTACACCTGCTTTGTTTTTGTCAGTGCTGAATCAGTCTAACTAAAATAAAGTGACTTTGTTTCTGTTAACAAACTACTAGTTTTAGTTTAATTTTCCTTCTGGTCATGGTTTGACTTCCACACCAAGCCTCCTGACAGAACCTGAAGTTGATAATTCAGAGCTGTTTGTACAGGTCTAAGCCTGACTCTGTTCATGTGTGCGTCTTGTTGTTTCAGGGTTTTTTGCCATGGTGGTCAGTGCTGTGTTGGTGGCAGCAGCAGTGTACCACGGTGTAGACCTGACCTACATCCACAGCCACTTCCTGCAGCTGGCCACGGCCTCCTTCCTCGTCTCCCTGCTGCTCAGCATCTACCTGTTCATCCGCTCGCGCTCTGCCGGCCCCGAGCAGCGGGCTCTGGGTGGAAACTCAGGTAGTTTACCTGAGTTACCAGGAGTCAGATACTGTGTTCTGTCTGCTGAGAAGCTTTTCTTTGTATTCCTCTCATTCCTCAGGTAACGTGGCCTACGATTTTTTCAAAGGACGTGAGCTCAATCCACGCATCAACAACTTTGATCTGAAATTTTTCTGTGAAATGCGTCCTGGACTCATCGGCTGGGTGAGTTCTGACAGAACTTATTTACGTCAGAGGAAATGTACCCAGAGTAAAGTAAAGTAAAGTAAAGTAAAGTAAAGTAAAGTAAAGTAAAGTAAAGTAAAGTAAAGTAAAGTAAAGTAAAGTAAAGTAAAGT